CACACATACACACACACACACACACACACACACACACACACACACCCCTTCAGCAGATGTGAAACAGGGCATGGCATCAATTCAAGATGAGGCTTAGGTAAGGAAGAAGATATGCAGTTTCATTGAAAGAGCTGTGTTCCCGGAAGAACTGAACTTTTCATGATGAAACTGAAGAAGCTGAGTGTATTTTGAGGAGTTATAGCTGGGGTCACGATGTGTTACCATGGCATAACTCCATGCAGTCTGAGAACTGCCTAAAAATGTACCTGATTTAATTAGATATATCCTTTCTGTGACTGGGTTACCCTGAGAAGAATGGGAAGGACTGGAGGTAGTTACAGTGATCAAATGACAAATGTAGTTACTGTTTTAAGAAGAAACTGTGTGTCTGAAAAGCTGGTACCCCAGAAATATTAAAATAGAGATTTTTATGGTTTCTCTGCTATTCACTTTAAACAAAGCCTAGCACCAAGTACCCAATCAGCAGCAGGGCTTTAAGAAGCAATTCTTCTCTTCTCCTCCTTTGCAAATTCAATTAAAAGAAAATAAAACCTTTAACTGTGAACAAATAAAATACCTGTATTGCTTGCATACAGAAATGCAAAATAGATAGATGAGCAGTTTCACATAGGTACAAAGATAAATTTAACAGCACTGAGCTTTTGGGATGAATCCCCATTATCTGGTAGAGAGGGTTTACTGAGAACCTAGCAGTCCCTATGTACTGCACTTTTTAAAGGTACAGTACAGGTAGTCCTCGACTTATGACCACAATTAGGACTGGAACTTCCATCACTGAACGATAGTCATTAAGTGAGTCACGGCCAGTTTTTTCACTTTTTCTGCTGCAGTAGTTAAGCAAATCACCATGGTCATTAAGCGAATCCGGCTTCCCCCATTGATTTTGCTTGTTGGAAGCCCCTGGAAAGGTTACAAATGACAATCATGTGACCCTGGGATGCTGCAGCTGTTGTAAATACACGCCGATTGCCAAGTGCCCGAATTTCAATCACATGGCTGCAGGGACACTGAGACAGTCATATGTGTGAGGATCAGTCATAAGTCACTTTTTTCAGCACCACTGTAACTTTGAACAGTCGTTAGATGAATGGTCATAATTTGAGGACTACTGTACATATCTAACCACACCAGTTCTCTCCTTCTCCCTTTGCAATTGCCCACAAATCCACAGTTGGTCAGCAAAAGTCTCATGAAGCAATTTCCCTCACTCTCTTCCATCTGATTGCTATATCTCTCTTCTGGGCTGTCATATCTGATCCAGTTCTACTTCTCCTCTTGGCTCTTCAAAGCTTGACCCTTTTCCATCGATTCACTGGGCAACTTCCTCAGATGTGAAACTGCCAGGGTCTGTCTCCTCTTTTGGCAAAGCTCTCTAAACTTAGTCTCCCCAAGTTGTTTTTCTTATTAGCTTCAGGAAGTGGAACTCTGGGTGGGCACATAAGAAAGGCCTCCTGACTTCTCTCTTTTACTTCTTGCTTAACATAAGCAGTCTTTCTTTAAAGCTTTGTCTCTTATTTCCTTATTTCTCAGCCAGTCTCTTTCTAGGCTAACCTTTTCCTTTTCCTTCTTTTTCCTAGCCTTCCTCTATGCCAGTGTTTCTCAACCTTGGCAACTTTATGATAGGTGGACTTCTGGGAGTGGAGCTGGGGAATTCTGGGAGTTGAAGTCCACCTATCATAAAGTTGCCAAGGTTGAGAAATGCTGCTCTAGGCTAAACTTACTCAGTTCCACTCTTTCTCCCTGGTTATGCATCCCAGCAAGACTAGGGGAATTCTGGGAGCTGGCTGGGGAATTCTGGGAGTTGAAGTCCACCTATCATAAAGTTGCCAAGATTGAGAAATGCTGCTCTAGGCTAAACTTACTCAGTTCCACTCTTTCTCCCTGGTTATGCATCCCAGCAAGACTAGGGGAATTCTGGGAGCTGGCTGGGGAATTCTGGGAGTTGAAGTCCACCTATCATAAAGTTGCCAAGATTGAGAAATGCTGCTCTAGGCTAAACTTACTCAGTTCCACTCTTTCTCCCTGGTTATGCATCCCAGCTCTGCAGTTTTTAATACATTTTCTAACTCTTCCAAGTTTTGTTTCTGCCTTTCTGCTCCTTGGAACCACACATATTATAACCATAAGTCACTACTTCTAATTTCCTTCACTGGCCCCAAGCTATCTAACCGCAGTAATTTTATCTCTCCCTTAATCGTCACCTAATTATTTTTTATCACAAGGTTCTTATTCCTCTGATTCTGACTTGTTTCAATTTCCTTACTTACCCTGCTCAACGTCTACCAGCTTGCACCAAACTTTTACTTCTGTAATTATTTCTCAAGCTTACTGCAAGTAACTGGGTTGCACATATCACAGGGGTGTTCTCAATATAATTATCATACAAAATTGGAAGAACAAGATTTCTGTGATATTTCCTTCTTGATCTGCATTCTCATCTCATTAAAACCTGTCTGAGGCTACAGTCCTATATCTGCTTAAAGCAAAAGATCTACTTCAAGTCAAACTCACCTTCTGATGACTTCATGGACAGTCCATGTAGTCTTCCTGGCAGCAACAGAGAAGTGTTTTACTGTTGTATTTACTGGAAAGTTTCTTGACTTTCCTAGACTATAGCCTGGTATTATTTGAAGGTTACCCATCAACTCACTGTCGAGGCCTAACCCTGCTTAGCTTCTGAGCCAAGACTAGGTCAATTGGATGCTACAGATACTGTATCTATCTGCTTATTTGTGGTTAAATCCAAACGGGACTTACCAGTTATGAAACAAGTTCACTGGTAATATAATCACAGTTGGTCAATGGAAGACAATCTAGATTAATTAATTTATATTTCAAATTTAGATACTGCCCATTTCACGAAGAAGTCCAGCTTTAAACATGGCAGCACTGATATTAGAGTCTGGTGTTCATTGCCTCTAATCTTGCAAACAGAGTAATTTTGTAAGGCTACCCGTCCCCCCGCCCCCAGAAAAAAAAGAAAAGAAAAAAGTCTGATGGGAGCATGATTAGTAGCTTGCATAGCTGGTATGTTTGTTTTCATCTGGGACAGAACTGCCTGGCATGACATGTGATTTCTTCACAGAACTCTTCAACACATTAGGAACTTCTAGTATGATGTATGTAGTAATTCAAACACTAACTTACTTAATCTGTTTTGGCAATCTGTTTTAATAATTGAGCTGGCTTCTCACTACTAAACAATGATGGTATCACTGTATTTTCAGCCATGTATTGTCTGAGGATAAGGAACTCTAAGAAAGGCCATGTAAATTTATCTAATGTGATGTGTGTTCATTGAGACCTTCATACACTGGTTAGCACATTTGATTTTTCATTTATTTCCAATTAGCATAAAATATTCACATTACATAGGACTTCTACATCCCCCAAGGGGTTGTCCAGTTATTTAGTTCATCTATGTACCAAAGTGTTTGTCCGAAATAAGTTGTCTGGGAAATGTTCACAAGGTCTCTCCTATCTTCAGTCAGATGTTGCTGACAAGATCTTGGATTAAGTGTTGCAGTTTCTGTTCACAAAAGTGCAATCAGTATAAATACATATTAGATAGAATTCAAAGCAATACATTGGAGGAACATTGTGCAGGCTTTTGATTATGTAAAACAATATCACTCTTCATCTGAATTAGCAATGAACATCCAAATGATTTCTTGAAGAGGTATGTGATTAAAAAAAGCTAGAAATCTTATTTTTGTGATTATACCTATAAACAGACTTTTTTTAAAAAAATAAAATAATTATTCTTTTCAGGCTGTTTTTCACCAGATACAGATGGCGCCTGTCTAAACCACAAATACCAAATCCCATAAAGAAGAACGATTCATTCAAGTATTTCAGGCTCTGGATTGCTAAATTAAGGAGCAGAGCATTTCAGGGAGACAACAGCTGATTTTCCCATTCTAACCAGAGTGTAAAAAAACAGGAAAATCCTGGTTAGAAAAGGGGTAAGTCTTGGGATGAGGAGAGGTAACCCCAGGATGTGCATAGTGATTCCCTTAAGACAGTGTTGTCCAAACCTGGTCACTTTAAGATGAATGGACTTCAACTCCCAGAATTCCCCAGCCAGCATGGCTGGCTG